GCCGCGATATGCAGCCTCCCCGCTATATCCCGGCCATGGGCAGCCATAGGTTTTATTTTAGGGGGACGTACTTCCGCATCTACCGGGAGCGGGAAAGCATGCTCGCCAGTAACAGCAACCACTTTGGTGCCTCGGTAATCAAAGATACCGAGACCATGGTACTTTCCTGCTTTTCATTCTCTGCGGAGCCAATCAAAAGGCTGCTCCAGCACATAAGGGAGGTCTGCTTCAAGGGGAGCTCCGGCCGCACTATCATCAAACGGCCCGGCCCATCTATGACGCGCAGGTTTGGAGGCGGAAACGGGTGGTCCACAGTGGCCAACCGGCCCGTCAGGCCTATGTCTACCGTCGTGCTTGACAACAAGCAAAAGGGCCAGCTCCTGTCCGATATCAACGAGTACCTGCACCCGAACGCCCCGATGTGGTATGCCACTCGCGGTATCCCGCTGCGCCGCGGATACCTCTTCCACGGGCCTCCGGGTACGGGCAAGACGTCACTGTCGTTTGCAGTCGCCGGTGTTTTCGGCCTCGACATATTTGTCATTAGCCTGCTCGACCCAGGGCTAACCGAGGAGGATTTGATCTTGCTTTTTAATAGCCTGCCCCGCCGGTGTGTTGTGCTTTTAGAGGATATCGATACGGCTGGTCTGAGCCGCCCCGATAACGACAAAGACGACTTCGCTCGCGATAGCAATAAGGCTGCGAGGCCCGTGAGGGCGCATCCCAAAGCGAAGCGTGGAGGGTACACAATGGGCGGGCCTGGCTTCGAAAGGGAGGGCAACGGCATCTCGCTTTCCGGCTTACTCAACGCCATCGACGGCGTGGCGTCACATGAGGGAAGAGTGCTCATAATGACCACCAACCGACCTGAGGTGCTGGACGAGGCTTTGATCAGGCCTGGCAGGGTTGATCTGCAGATCGCCTTTAAGAACGCCACCAAGAATCAGGCCGGCGAGCTATTCCAGCACATGTACGCGCAAAGGATTCCGGTCACTGGAGCAAGCGGCACCATTACCCAGGACAACACCAATGAAAAGAATGGAGCGGGCGCGCACGGCAGCGGCAGCGAGCAAAGCGAGGCGGCGGCCGAGCTGGCGAGGAACGCAGCCGACTTCAGCAAGAATATTCACGAGTGCCGCTTCTCGCCCGCCGAGATTCAGGGCTTCCTTCTTAAGCACAAGGATGATCCACACCGAGCACTCCGCGAGGTCGAGAACTGGGTTTCAGAAACGAATAGGCAGAAGGAGAGCAACAGCATGGCCCTGCAGGTGCAATAAAGCTTTGCTTATACTGTTTTTGTTGGATCCCATGGCCCGGCACATGCATTCGAGCAGGGCTTCCGAACATGGCTTCATCTGAGAATGGTTACGATAGTGGAGTTTAGCTACTTTAATGCCGGGTTAGTTCTGATGCTAACCGTTGTGGCCATATTCGGGAAAACTGCCTGGGGCTCCATGGGGCTTTTGAAATTCTGCATCACGGATGAGAAAAAAAAGGCCAGGGCTTGAAAGGAATTAGCAACTGAGAAGGCCGAGGCTTGCGGCGTGGGAATAAGCTGCATGAATAAATGAAACTAAGCCTTTTCAGCCTGCAACCAGAAAATGGTCTGCTCGTTATGCTCCTCTGTCGTCAGCCAACGCGCCAAGTGAATGGAAACGGCGGGACCAAAGCACCAATGGCTTAATGACATGGGCGTTTGCGCTCGTCTGAACAGGAACGGCGGCTCTGTCAACCCCAGCCGGCCCAACCTTGGCACTGTCCCTTGGACCTGGGGTGGTCGGCAGCCGCGTTCTGGGGAATGCACATGTGGCCACTAACGGCGGCCGGATGCCCATTCCAACCACAACCGACCCACGCACGACGATTGCAACACCTGCACAGTGGAGAAAGTTGGACCTGAAGCGAGC